TCCCAGCGTACAAGACTCACACACTTTCGATAAATCTCCCTTATAATTTTGAAGAATCCCGTCCTTTTTTAATCATTCCAGTCGTTTGATATTAATGTGACCTGACCTCATATGCCATAGGGTAGCAACCATTTCATTAGGGGAGGTGACATAAGCAATATTATCTTTTATTTCAATAGTAAATAGCCCATCTACAAGTCATCCAGTCATGATCACATCTTTCCCCCTTTTGACTACCACTTTCTCTCCAATGAAAGTGGTTATTTCTCCCCAATGAAAGTGATTATGAATCCATCCATAGACATCTTAGGGACCGAAACCAAACATTTCCTCATATCAGAAGCATAAAGTGATTGCTGTAGGATCAATGTGCTCCCACTCTTTAGTTTCAGCTCAAAATTTCCAACTTCAAGAACATCAGTCTTTTGATTTCCTCCCATATAAATATGCTGCTTTCCTGGCCCCATGGGAGTAAAAGAACAGAACCCATCCTTGGTGTTTGTGACATGAACCGTAGCCCCCGAGTCAAGACACTAAGAGGCTCCCTTAGGGTCAGCCAGCATAAACTCAAAAGCCACACATGTCAATTCTTTATAGGTCGCTTCAGATTAGTTGAACCCGACAACTATTGGCTATGTGGCCCACCTTCTTGCAAATAAAGCAAGTTCGAGTCTCTCTCCTTGCTCTCTTATTTCCAAAATCTTCCCTTTTGAAATCTATTTTCTTTCCAAAATTATTTTTTCCCTTTCCCTTCTTAAATTTAAAAGAAGGTGCAGATCTTACCATATGCACAGCTTCCCTTGGAGTTGTTGTCAGTATTTGTCTCGAATTTTTCCTCTCCTCTTTTGCTTTGATTGTAGTGATGAGCTCCTCCAGTTTTGATGCTTTCCTTCTGGCTGAGTGGATGATATGAAGGTCCCTCATGAATTGGGAAGTGAATTCATAAGATGAATCCCTTGTCTATGTTCATTAGGTTTCATCCTAGTATCTTCTAGCTCTCTGAATAACGATCGAAACACATGCACATAATCTGTAAACTTAGTACCTTCTGCCATCTTTAATTCGTTATACCTCCTCATAACCATGGTTAGCTTTATAAGAGAGGGTCAGCATACTCTCTCAAGTTTATCATAAATTTCACTTGAAGTATAGATTGACTCATACTCAGAAGCATATGAGTCAGTCATGACAAATAAAAGAATGTGTTTTCATCTTAGATTCCTCCTCTTCCAATTGGCGTACTCATTTTTAATGACTCGAGAAGAGTCGACAATTGGACGACGAGATTGGTCCTCAAATAGTACCTTATGCAAGTCTTCCTCATAGAGCAGAAATTTGATTTTTTTTTTTTCATGAGACAAAATTGGTCCCATCAAACCTTTCGGTTTTCAGGATCTCTGAGATGAAGGTATGAGCAGCTATATATTTCTATTCTCAAGCAAAAATAAGAAAAGACTCCTAACGGCAATCAAGTAAAACTAGCTTTGATACCAATGAAAGAAAGACCTATGTGATCTTTTACCGAAGAAATACGAATTTTTTTTTTTTAATAATAATCACCCGTTAGAATTTTTAGCAACAAGATCACTCACAGATGGTCTTATTACAAACAATAGAAATTGCAAAAAATAAATAACACATCAATAAAATAAATCTCAACTACTTGATGCATTCATACAACCTAATATTGTGCTTGAGAATATAAAATGAAAGAAAAAAAGAAAAGATGCCGGAGATTATCTCAACTGGACTTTTTACACCCCACACTGAGTCACCACATCTAATGGCGCGGGATCTGTGGTCTAGCTTCAATCTTGAATCGGGATAGCTGATATAGGCCAAACTATGTAACCACCACTAAAATATTTACTAAACCTTAACCCCCAAAATTAACTTATGTTTCCCTCTAATTTTTCCAACCCTTAGTTTCTTCTTAAGTCTAGAGAGGAGAGAGAGTACTACCTAGGGTTTTGGAGAGAGAAATTTAGAGAGAGAAATATGAAGGAGAGAGAGTCGGGCGTGCCCCTATAAGAAAGAGAGAGAGAGGTTGTATAGAGATGGGGAAGAACACCCCTATTTATAGTGAAATTTAGGTTTAGGGTTTCTTAAGATTTCCCATAGCTTGTCTCTTTCATGAGATTGAATCTAGACCGTTGATCAAGATGACTTGTCGGATGAGAGATCTGAGCCATCCATTCTATAGATAAGCCCTCAACATTATGGAAGGTGCTTGGACCATTATCCCCCGTTTACTTAAACTATTTTCCCATCAATATATTTAAATAAAATAAATATCATGCATTTCATAAAATTACATGATCCATCTCACATATTCCATAAAGATATGTCAAAAATTATAAAGCAAATAAATACTACCAAATATAAATAAGATAATGTCAATATTTACTATCTATTTAAATTGACCATATTCCTTTAAAGCAAACTTGCTATAAAACAAATAAAGTTGTAGTCCATATTTCCCTTCTAAGATTTGACTACATGCCACAAATCAAAGTTACCATAACTCAAAGACTTGAACATAAAGCAAACAAGGAATCCAAAGGGTGGGACATGCCACCCCCTATGTGGCACATGTGGGCGCCCACCCACATGCCACATGGTTGGCCCATGTGCACTTTGGGCCCCATGGAATTTTATAAAAAGTTTTAAAATTAAATAAAACGAGTTAATATATATTTGAATTTTTACAACTTTGTAAAATCAATAACTGTATTTTTATAAGTCCAAAAATCATAATTAAAATATTGAGATATTCATAAAAATTCAAATAATAAAACTAAAATCATTTCAATAATAAAATGAACACAATTAAATAAATATGATGGGACAATGATCCATATGGTTATAGGAATTCAATCTGTAAATATGGGGTATTCCACTTTCAACTGTGGACTACAGACTACACTAGCTTCATTGAACCGACCCAGTGTTTCTCATGACCCACAGTCCAAGCAAGGACTCATTAACGGGTCACCAAAGTCAGGTTGATGAATCAAGGGGTCGCAATCCCAGTATGTGGATTACAGGTCCTCCCCTAGAGACTAGTCAAGGTCACTACGACCTGATGCGACCACGGCCTTATGGCGCATATGGGTATCTCTTGCACATGCATATGCTTCACCCAAAGGTGGATCTCTAGCTTTTTCGAACGATCTATCGATATACATGCCGTGTGATAGAACATAGATGAGGTTTTGGTCCTCGTCTCAATAGGCCTACCATCACCCACAAGGATCACACAGTCCCTCGGCTCACTCATCTAAGCACAAGCTCCGACCTCATCAAGGGCTAACCTAAAACCCTCCTCGGTTAATTATTTATGACCAGTGATCTTGGGTTTTTCAATCAACTAGCCTAGATCGATAAGCACAGTCCAGTATAAAAAAACATCACTCACTTAGTATGGTCCTGGAGAGACCATACTCCCACTGAGTTTATGTTTTACTATAATAAAAGTATTTCAATACATACTCATAAGGCTTTTAAAGGCCACATAAACCCAACATCTCCCATTTGGCCTTTGAAGGCCTTACATTCTTTCTTCCTCACTTTTTCTCATCTCCATCTCTCTCACATGTCTTACAAAAACATTAAGGACAACTCCCTTAGTCAGAGGTTTTGCAATCATCAAATCTGTAGATATATAGTTAATCTCGATCTCTTTCAATCTCACCTCATTTCTCAGGTGATAAAAATAAAGCTTAATATGCGCTGAGTTCTTGTGAAACCGAGGCTCCTTAGAGACGCAAATAGCCGCAGTGTTGTTGCAAAAAATTCGTACTGCCTCATAACGTAGAGGATGACAATTAAGTTGATTAAGAAACTTCTTAATCCACACGACCTCCTTGGCTACTCGACAGCATGCCACATACTCGGATTCCATGGTGGACAAGGCCACAATATCTTGTTTCTTTGACTTCCAAGAAACCGCACCTCTTCCAAGCATAAACACATACCCAGATGTAGACTTCGCATCATCTGAATCCTCGAGATAGTTTGCATCTGAATATCCCTCTATTGCTATTTCAGTTCCCCCTTTATAAGTGAGCGTATAGATCATGGTCCTTTTTAAATATCTAATAATTCTTTTTATAGTTTTCCAATGCTCCTCTCCTGGATTACTTTGGAAACGACTCACCAGACTCAAGAAAAATGACAAGTCAGGCCTTGTTCTTGTCATGGCATACATAAGGGACCCGACTGCGCTCCTGTATGATACTCTCTCAATGGCTCTTATATCCACGTCTTCGGTAGGACACATCTTATTATTAAGCTTCGTCTTTTTGTCAATTGGGGTAGACATAGGCTTACACATACTCATATCTAACTTTTTCATAATCCTCTTACATTAGGTTGCATAAGAAAGTTGGATAGTCTTCTCTCTTCTGTTTCTTATTATCTTGATGCCCAACAGATATGAAACTTCTCCAAAATCCTTCATATCGAAGTGTTGTACAAGGGAATTTTTTGTCTCTACTGCAAGGGCAATTGAGCTACTAACAATTATCATATCATCAACATTAAACGATATAAAAACCACATCACTCCCACTGACATTTTGATATATGTAATAATCCTCATTATTTGTTTAGAACCCTGCAAGAGCAAGGATCTTTTGAAATTTTATTTACCATTGTCGTGATGCTTGTTTTAGATCATAAAGGGATTTATTTAATTTGCATACTAAATTTTCTTTCCCTTTTTTTTCAAATCCCTCAGGTTGGGTCATATAATTTTTTTCTTCAAGTTTTAGATTTTTTATTGTTTACAACCATTCGATTTAAAATTTAATGGACAATAACCATTGTGACCTCTTTGTATCATAAGTACACGATCTGTTTGTATATATTCCTACAAGGGTATTATCGTCCTCTTAAGAAAATCTTGGCTCTAGGGCTGTTTACGTAATTTGTGATAACTACGGAGGACATAATAGTCATATAGGAGCATGGAAATTCAGCTCTTGAAATGAACGGTAAATCCAGCCACCATGAAAGAGATTTCTCCTTTCTTTGTTGTCTAAACTGCATCAGCGTTGTGTTTACCAGATTCTTGAAGATGGTATGTTTTCAACTGTCTCGATCGTTGTAAGAAGAAAGAATAATCAGTAGTTTGAATGTTCTTTTGATGTGATTACTGTGAATTTTTGATCTTCCATTGACTTCTAATGGTGTTTGTATTTGTCAGGTTCTTTTGCAACCAGATCCATTTCTCAATGAGCTCACCAACATGTACGAGCGTAACAGAGAGAAAGGCTCAGTTTGGGTCACCCTCAAACGATGTAAGTTTCATCATATCTACTCTCTTTTTCCGCTCTCCATTTCTCTATCTAATGTTGATTTCTATGTAGGGTTTTGATTGCAATGTATTTGGGTTTTTTACTTTGTTGGGTTCTTGCTTTAGCTTCTCTGAAGTCGAAGAGGAAGAGGAAGGTAGAATACGCGACAGATGTTGTTGATTTCAGATGCCTGGTGCGAGCCACTGATGGGAAGAAGACCATCTCCACTAGTGTATGTCTCTATCTCTTCACATTCAGATGACTCTCTCTTCCTCTCTCTAAGAATTTTGCGCAATTCCAATGCATATGGAGATCTTGGCATGCTTCTTTTTTTGTTTTTGTTAAGTGAGATCTGAGCGTGTTTCAGAGTCGACAATCCATTCATATGAACACATATTAAACGGATAATATCATGTGTGAAAGCAAAGCTTACTCACATATATAATGGTAGCCTGTATTTTATTTCCTTTTGGTAGGTTATGCATTCATAAATCTCTCTCATGTGATGCATAACCCAGTCAATGTCGAAGGATTTTGACAAACTTGATTACACTCCCTAAGTCCATATGCTTTGGACCAAGTGATCCTCTGATTTTTCCACCTCTGAGCATAGAAGACTTTGGGGCCTACTTTTGCTGCCCACTAATTTGTACTCACTCCCACAACATCAACTGTTGCTATTTAATTGATGTTCCGAGGATGTGATCGATTGCTCAAAGATGAATTTGTGGGCAGGAAATTAATTGATAAGTTGTGATTACTATAGTAGTGGATGGCAAAACTGGCCTGCAACAACAAATGTATCCCTGTTTTTTTATTACACTGTGGGTTTTTGTTAGATATTATATGATATAGTTAACCTTTTCTCAAAAAGAAAGAAGAAAAAATTATCCCTGTTTTGCAACCTTTTTTTCGGGTGATCAATACCAGGAATTTTCTCCTTCAGAGTTGAAGAAAATCTGAGATTCTAGACCAACTAATTCAACCTCTCCATGGAGTTTCTATTGGTTTCTCTTCCATAAACTAGCAGAGCATCATTTTCCTGATACCATTGAATATGCTTGTCTTCAACCTCAATTCCTCCCTGATAACTCATATGATAGGTCCATAAACTAAAGTTATTGTCTTATAGAATCCTCCTTCACCCTGGTCATTTCAACTGAAACTAATTTGGACAATGTGGTCAAGCTGTATGGCTACTTTCACAGGAACCCATAAAACTAATAGCCACTTTATTCCCCACACCATCTAAGTCCAATTCAGCCAAAGGTTCTCCCCATCTCATTATTGTCTCTAGGATCAACCTTTTTTTTTTTTTGGAAAGGATTTTATGCTTCCCCTACAGTATAGAAGTTCTATCCTCCCCCTACCATCCAGCCGTCCAATTTTGATCAAGAGAACCACTCACCGTTTGATCTTAGATCCGATGTCTCAAAGTATTTTATTTTTAGTTTTTTTATATAAATTGTTTGAATATGAAATTTGGCACGTGCCATCTTCTCATTGGGGCGCACCTATAAAAAATATTAAAAATAATTTTTCGATAAATTATAATGACCAAAATACCCCTTGAAAATTTCAGGGGTATTTTGGTCATTTTATTTTATTGAAAATATTTTTTTTATATTTTTCTCTAGCGCAAGTTTAATAGAGGAATGGACATCCAAAATTTGGTGTCAAAATAGTTTATAGAAAAAAATTAAAAATAAAATAGTGTAGAGACATGACATTGTGATCGGGGCAATCTTAGCCCTCCATTCAGAATGGACAGTTGGATAAGGCGGAGGATGGTACTTCTATGCTGTAGGGGAAGCATAGAAAGCTTGCCCATTTTTTTTTTTGGATAATTATCTCCTGGACAAACTTGATATCTACTTTGTTATCGTTGATCCATTTGTCTGTCCATTGTTTCCAAGAATGGTAATGAAGAAGGAAGTACTATTTAGTGTAAGCTGTTGTGAATTACTATGAATGTTTGGATTTTTGGAAGGGATGATTGTCTTATTTTATGGTGAATTTTATCTTTGTTGCATTTCTTAGCATGTATGGTTTTTGAAATTCCCTTGTTGATGATGGAAGTAAAGCGTAGTCATTAGTCTAATAGGGACAAAGCAAAGCATTCGGACCGGTGGTTTTCTGGCAGAGTAAGGGTTTAGGGTTTTTCTAACGGGTGATTGGTGAGCATCAAAATTCCATTGTAAGCATAGAATGACTCAGGTGTAACATGCATCGCCTTGATTCCCAAGAGGGAAAAGCATTGGGACTTGGTGGTTTTTTGGCAGCATTGTATTAAGACTCTAGGGTTTTCCTATGGGGTGAATGCTGGATACTGGAATTTCAATATAAGTTTTAGAAGTATTTGGGTGTAATACATACGTCACTTTAATTCCCGAGAGGGAAGGAACGAACGAGATTTAGGCTCCATAAAACAAATTGAATGACATTCAAGACTTATTGCTCTATATGAACATTGCACCTCTTGTTGCTTCAAGGATACACCTTCTTTCACCTTTGTGTCATTATGGTTTCTCTGGGGGAGATAATTTTCTTGGTGCTGCTTTGGCAACTCATGAACTATTTGAGGAAGAGAATGCAGAACTAGTTTGGGTTTTTCCCATTTTGAACATTAGGTTGACATTAGAAAGGATTACAAGTATGTAGTTTGGGACTCGTACTCCATGTTGTGCAATTAGGGTTGGATTGGCTGGATGAAAGCTTATATCTCCATGCTTGGATTCACTAGTATGATCAATGTGAGCGTGAGAGCTTAGTTTTGAGTTTGAATGGTTCCTGACAAGGGTTTTCTGACTATCCACTTTTTTAATGTACTTGATGATTGACTCCCTTTGCTTAATGTTCCAATCCTAATTGAGATACATATTATATTAACCGCTTTTTGGAGAACTTGACTTTTTAATTTGAGACTTCTAGCATCTAAATGAGACATGTAACAACAAATTGTTCCATTTATGAGAAAGGATTTTATGTTCCACCATCACAATTCTAGGAAATTTAAGAACTTTTCATTATTTCGTAGCTTAAAAATTAAATTTAAAGCACTAAATAGAAATAGTCTTTAACATAGTTTTAAACTGCGGCTGCATCGTGCGGGATGCGCTCCCCTCCGCATCGCAACTTGGCGCATATGCGCTTTTGACAGATGCAGCCACATACGCGCCGCATCAGATTGCATTGTAGCTGCATCCCTCATCTCCCCGTATCGTAGCCCATCTCCTTCCGCCAAAACTATTTTTGATTTAGCCCCTCGGGGAGGGGCAAAATGGTCTTTTTGACCATCCAGCCACTTTTGTGGCTTTTTTTGCAACAAATCGAGGGAAAAAAAAATTTGGCGAAACTTTTTTTTTCATTCAAATCTTCGATTTGGCGGTTGTTTGATACTTGGGTGTTCATTTGATGCCTTTGACTGTTGATTTGGGGATGTTAGGGTGAATTTGTGATAAGAAATCGGGGGTATTAAACCCTGAGATGAAGAAACGGAGACGTCGTCGTCTCCCTCCCTCCTCTCTCTCCTCTTGCTATTGGAGTGTTATCTATGACGTCTACCCCAAGCCCTCCCGCCTTTCTCCCCCTCCTCCTTCCAAGGCTCAGCCGGCCCTCCGGGTCTTCGGCCCCTCGCTCTCTGCACCGAAGAAGTTAGAGGTATCCCCTTTGGTCTCTTTTCAAGTGGCTTCAGAGGCTCCCACCACCTCTTTCCCTGCTTCCTACTCGCAGGTAACAGCTCGCCTCCCGTCTTCTACTGCTCCCACTTCTTCATCGGTAGGCGCAAAGGGGATTTCTTCTACTCCCTGCAAGGCCTCCCCTTTTTGCCCCTTCTTCGTCTCCATCCCCCCTGAAGAGTCCTCCCTTCTTCAAGCCAAATTCGTAGCCTTTTTAGTTGGCACATTCCAGCCCCCTCGAGGTGATGCGAGAGGCATAGAAAAATGGGTTCAAAGCACCTAGTAGGACCCAAACATCACCGTCAGGCCTATCTCCGGTGGGGACTTCCTTTTTTGCTTCTCGTCTACAGAACAAGCCCTCTAGGTGTTACAGAACTCCCACCCCCTAGCCTTCAAAGGGGCTAATCTTCGGCTTCGTGCGTGGACCCTTATGAAAGGTGCCTTCAGATTGAAAAACATTTGGCTCACCCTACACTACATGCCCCTCCATGTGTGGTCTCTGTCCACGTTTGGGAGAGTAGCGGAAGCCTTTGGAAATCTGATTTAAATCCACTGGAAGTCCATTGAAATCCTCCCTCTTGGGTCCATCCGTATGCTTGTGGAGGTTCTGATACAAAGCTCATCCCACCTTGTGTATGGATAGAAGCTAATAACTTCTTCTACCCCATCTCTCTCTCATGGTCGGAGGCTTCCCCCCCTCGACCAATTTCCTTGATTCTTCGACCTCTCCCGTGGCCAAGGGTCCTTCAACCTCTGCCTGGACCAGAGTTTCCCGGAATCCTAGCCACCACCAGCGGCGTTGCCGCCACCAGCCCTCAGTTTCCGTCACTGTCCCGGGTTGCGACGGGCCCAAATCCTCTGCACGTCCCCCCTCCTGGCAACCACGTGGCGCACCCCAGGGTCCTGCCTTTGCCAGCAAACAGGCATCACAAGTGGGTCTCGAGCCCAGTTCCAAGGGCCCTGCCCCGTAGAAGGCCATGCAGTAGAGCTCGATGGGTCTAGCCCGGGCCTTTTGGTCCCTCTCTTACTACAACCCGGGAAGGTGGGTCTCAAGCCCAGTTCCAAGGGCCCCTCCCCTGTAGACGGTCAGGCAGTCGAGTCCGGTGGGTCTACCTCGGGCCTTTCGGTTCCTTCTTACATCGACCCTGGAAGGAGGTTTTGGTGGATACAGACCACCCTTCCCCCCCTGGGCCGTCGGGCTGGGCCTCTGACTCGAACCCCCCCTTCTCTGGCCCTTTGGGTTTGCCCCTTGTGGATATTACCTTTATCCCGAGAACCTTCGACAAGGCTCAAACACCTGTCTCTCTGCCTACTGCTCTCTCCTGTCATTTGTCCCGCATGCCTGACACGCTGTAGATGGGGTTGTCGTCTTCGCCCCTGGGTACGTCGTTGCCAGCTTCTCCGCTTGCCTTGGCATTTAATGCTAAGAATCTCGTTGGGCCCCAGCCGCCTCAACCTCCCCCATACGTCGGCTTCGTCCTTTCACCTGCCTCCCCTTCCTCTACCTCTAATGACACCTCACCCCTCACTTTTCCACCTGGCTCCCCTCTGCCGA